ATGCTGCATGGCAAAGCTATTGTTATTGCGATTGTGCTTGTTATTGTTATCGAGATGACTAAATGTCCTTTTCTCATGAATGATCCCATGATGGGAAGGTGCAGCTTTTATGATGAAACTGAGAGTCTTTCTGATTGCTTGCAGACAGATTACCACTTTGAATACACCGAGTGTGATAGCAGTGGATCCAGATGGAGGGTGGCTGTCCCCAACCCAGCAGTGGAGTGCTCCGGATTGCCAGACCCTGTGAAAGGGAAAGAATGCAGTATGTTTGCACTTTTTAATTTCCAACTCTTCTGTCATTTATAAACGCTATGTTTTTCTACGTTTAATCCGGACTATAGCCATCACTATATACACATGGACATCTGTAATCCAAATTAAAATTGACTCTAGTCTGAATTAACTAATCCTCATTGAATGAGGATTCAATTTAATGCAGACTAGGGCAGGCCGAATTAGGCAATTTAAAATGTATTAATTAACATGTATATACGGCGTTACTTTTAGGAAAAACAGTCCTTAGGAACTCAGATAAGCCTTCCTTAGGAATGCAATAAGAATTGCAAATATTGGTCACCTCAAAGGAAACTCAGGTGGGTTTTTGGCAAAACAGCAGAGGCTATCAGGCACAAAGTAACACTTTTAGAAAGTCAAATGTGCCAACAACACCTCACTAAATATGAGTATCCTGACTAAGTCTCCAGCCCTGCAGCCCTCCAAGCAGAGGGGCTACTGGTCTGTGAAGAAGGGGGAAAACCTCTTTGATCATCTATTAACCCTTCATTTGAATTGAAATTTGATTTGAACTATGTGATGTGAATTAGCTAATATGGTTTAGAAAACAGTGAGCATGAATGATCAATTCATGTGTCTTCCTTTAGTGACACAAGCAACTGGCATGGGTTAGTTACCTCTTAGCAAGGCAATGTGGTTTCCTGGATAGTGCAGTAGACTGGGACTTGGGAGACAGGAGTTGTATTGGTACCTCTGCTAATGATCTGATTGACTTCAGGCGAGTCCTTTCCTTTCTGTCTTTTAGGGGCAGTAGGATGGTGCCCATGCTTTGTTGTGCCTTTCTCTAACTCACTGACAAATCTGCTGAATACATTAGGCCTCCCTGTAAAATCTGTGGTAGAAAGCCAGGAGGAGACCTAGGAGAGATTCTACTTGTTTGTTGATTTCTTTATGAATAGTATAGGATCTATAAGACAAAAATTGCTATACTTCAGTATGAATTAATGAGGCATTCCTTCTAAACAAAATATTCATTAGCAACTCCACTGAAGCCAACTAATATGTGCCCTCTGTGGCTTAGGAATTGATACACTCACCAAATTTAACTTCTCAGCAGTCAAAATTGAGATGCCTAGTATAACGCAACTAACCTCTCAGTGAGTGTTCATAACTATTCATATGTCTTCTAGTGGTTGACTGTACTATACTAAAACACATATGGTAATGTACTTAACAATAAACCTTTGTAGCAGCAGAGGAGATTATTCAAAGGCAGAAGTGAATAAAAGTTCACCTCTCCTATAAAATGAAGGAAGGGACATTGCCATCATTTATCTAGTCTGGCAGGTGTAATCATTTATATCTCCAGGTACAAATTACTGACAAAGAAAAGCACTAGGCTGCCATAAGGTCATTCTCCAAAAGAACTGCTAGGGCAGCAAAGTGTGATGGTGAAGAAAATTTATTGTTGTGGGTGACAGGGAAGAGGGAACACTTCAAAGTCTTCTTCAGACCAGCCATGCCTTTAGGCAGCTGATGAAGAGGAGAATCATTTTAACACAGCTCTTCACAAACAAAACTGTGGGAGAAAGTGATGCAAGAAACATCTGAGTTGTTTAAAAAAATACAAAAACTTTGTCATAAAAAAACATAGTCTGAATTCTATAAACAGCAAGATAATTATTTTTCAATGGTGGTAGGACATGGAGGCATCAAGAACATAGACATTATGCAAATATAATCATTATTACACTGGCCAGATGTGCTGGGAAAACATTGATTTGGAGACCTGCAGAACTAAAAGCCTGAATGGCTGGATTGCCATCTGTGTTTTGCGGGTGCTGTAATAGAGTAAAAAAACAAGTACATGCATCCTCCTGCCCATTTCCTATTTTTATCTGTAAACAATCTTTAACTATGATTAATATTTAATAGCAAGCCATGGCTCTAGCTGAGTCATTGACTTGTCCACTCATCCAGGTCAAGTTACCACTTACCTGAAGGGGACATCTGTTCAGTTGGTTCACTGGAATATTAAATCACCAGACTATGGGCTTCTGTTCAACACATTTAAGGATTCTTCTCGATAGCTTTATTTTCCTCCTGGGGCATGGCTGCTAGGATCACATGGAGGCTCAAGTAGGGAACCAGGTGAATATTCCTCTTTTGTTTTTGAGTTTCCTTTAATGAGTGTGTTGGTGAATCTCAGCTTGCTGTGATTTTGGGATGCAGCTATATTCAATAAGAAGAGCTGGTATCATCCAGTATTTTGTTTTTTTATCAGCACTGGTGGTCCTAGTTTAATTTTTTTTTAATTCTGTTTTCTGATGTTTATTGACTTCTTAGATCTGGCAACTTCAGCCTCCCTTCATATCATAGCTCAAAAAAAAAAACAAAAAACCACTCGAGGGAATGAGCTAATTGTCAGGCTAACAACTTTGTCCTATCAACCAATAAATGTCTGAAACTGAGGGCCTGATACAAATTTATTATGGAATAAAATTGGCTTTACTGTGTTGTAAAAGAAAAGTGGATGCATTCAATACAGCCTTGTACTACTGTAAGCCATAGTAATATTACCCCTGAGAACGTGAGGATCAATTATACGCAGGTATAAGATAGACTGGTATATCTGTTATGGGGCTGTTTCCATAGTCAGTTTTGTCTCCTGGGTAGCCCTTTACTGAATGCAGACTCGCTGTCCAAGAACCAAGTGGTCAGGTGCTCTAACTGTTCCCATTGGAGGTCGGGAACTCAGAGGAGATGGTCATGTGCCTGCTTTTAACTGTGGAGTAAATTTACTTTGAAGTAAAATCTAAGATAAATTACCCTGTAGTAATCACAGAGTGTGCTGGCACCCTGAGTTGTGCTTACTTTGGTGAATGAATATGAGCATCTCTTTTGCTCAGGCAAGTAAATGTGGAAGCTTTATATTGTAGAATTCCCTGCAAATCTATTCCTTTGTGGGCGGTATGGGCTGGAAGGGATACATTTGAAAGGATATTGAGCCCTACAGACTTAGAACTTAGAGTTCACAAACTGCTGTCCGTTGCCAATGACTATTTCTTCCAGCATCTTCAAAGAAAAGAGAATGCCATACACCTTTTCTAGGACTTGTTGGCTTGTGGGCAGCAGTTTTTCTATAGGCTGTGAACATCAGGGCCTGAGCTAGGGAGTGCCTGAGATAGAAGCAGTGTGCTACTGCTTGAGTTAGTGGAGGTTGTGCCAATGGAGCCTGTGGCAACTCCTATTTTTAGTGGGCCAGGCACTGAAGGGAATATGTAACACATGCTCACCAATAAGGGCACTGACAGATGTTTGAATAAAGGTTCCAAGGGATTTGATCTTTGATCCCAACAAGTGCGTGCCCTGTCATGCCACACTTGCATAGCAGGATGTGTGATTTTCAGCATCCTTACAAAGCGAGGCATTTTTTGCAAGATTCCCAGCAGGGGTAGCCCCTTGGTTTTTCCCTCCAGGACTATTCCAGCCTTCTTATTGGCAGCTCATTTTTGGTATTGAGCCCCATTCCTATGCTGATGTCAAGAATCAACTCATTGTCAACATTAGGATGGGGACGTGCCACATATTCAATTTATTGTGCCATGCAAAGCAGTCACAAAGATATTCCATATTTTTTGTGGAATATCTTTGTGGGTGGTTTGTCATTTTATAGTGCCATAACTTTTTGAACATGGGGCACTGTTACAGTTAACAGTGCCATGCATGTAATGCACGCCAGGGGCCTGAGTGTTTCTTACTTGAAACATGCTTGGTGGTTTCCAGGTAAACAGTGGCAGGGTTAGCTTTTTGGTGGCTGCATTAAAAGATTCAGTTTCAGCTTTATTAAACCACCATGCTGAAACCTGACCACAATGCAGTGGGGGTTTGGGCCAGTTTGGTGCACTATGCAGTGGCATGGTCTGTCTTACTGTAACATCGCTTGGCAAACAGGTATGCCCTTTCTCTCCCTTCAGGTCTAATGCTATTTTTTGTCAAGATCTACCAAGAAATGCTGCCTGTAAATCTGGGATACTCTTTGAGTTATGAGTTTCTGGGTGTACCTCAAGACTTTCCTGATTTCATTAAGCATTTCAGATCCAGCCCACATAGCTCTTTTGAAGTATCCATGTCAAACATTTCATTTCAGCTACCACTAGGCTAAGTACAGACAGTCAAAAAGGCTGAGACTGAATTGATTCAATCTTCACAGGTTAGTCTAACCTACTTAGATTGAACTGATAAGCAAATGAACAGACATTCGCTTTTGATTCCGGAAATGCTTCCACATGTCTGTGGTGGCCTAGGCCAGAAGCTGGGTGGGGCCGGGTTTGGGCATGCCACCCTGCTTGGCTGAAGCAGACAGCTCAGGCCAAGGCTAGCCTTCCCACCTTGCCAGGGGTGGGGGGTTCGGGGAATTTGCAGGGAAGATGCAAATAATCCTGGGATACTAGGGGATTGTGAGTTAACTTGAATTTGGAGGGGATCTGGGACAGAAGTTCAATAAACTGATGTAGCCTAAATCAGTTAAGTCTAATACTACAATAATCCAGGTTTATCTTAAACTGGTTTCTCCCATTTAGAAAGCATTAAACTTCTGTTGTGTTACAGATCTGAACTAGTTTCTGATCACTTATACTGGTTTATGTGTAATTTCTGTCCCTAGCCTTAGAGACATCAGTGGTTGCAGTAGATATAAGCTTATCGAAAGCATAAACAATCTCTGGCATTTAAGAAGAACCTTATTTTGCCCTTTACTGTTCATTAAATGTGCAAGTAGCTCCTGTCTGTTACTATTTTTCAAGACCCTGAAAATACCTTGTGAACATCTTGAATATCAGTTAACTCACCATGCAGCATCTTTTTTGTGTGGTCTTTGTAGTCTCTGGCTATGTCTACATAAGATGCTGACTGCGTGGTAGCCTCTAACTACTGCTCGGTACTGTTGTGTGGCAGGAAGCCTGATGCAATGCTACTGTGCAGTAGTCACAAACTACTGTGCAATCAGTGTCAAGTAAAAGGCGTTCC